GAATCAACAAGCTGATGCCCATGTAGCTTGAAATGCCAGCCAAGAGCTTAGGAAGAAATCAGCGGCTTCCTGGGGACTAGTGTTGAAAGTCAAAACACTCACATGTTACTGGGGTCATTTTCCTGTACACACTGAGAATGTACACAGCTTCCTTTTATACCTGATCTCTAACAAGAATACTAACCTCACACATTTTATTAGAGAAACAGTGACAATAATTTACTTCTATATAACAGCACCATATAATCATAGTAAGACAAGGAATGAATCCTCACCTCGCAGGACTTTAAAGAGAAAAGATGTTGGTGATAAACAAACAAGGAACTTTGGTGAAAAGTGCCAGTGGTGAAAGGCCCCGGGTGATATTGATGGAACACCCACGAAACCACCTTTTTTTGAGAGCATTTGAGAAGCTAAGCAAATAAATGACCTCCATGACATTTATGCCTGTGTGGCCAACTCTAGGTCTTGTTTGGCTGTGTCTTAACTCCAGATGTGTGTGCTGAATGGCAAAGACAACGTGGACGGACTTTGTCTCAGTGCCCCTTACACTGATGCTGCATTGTAGTTTATGATTTTGGAGAACTGCCTTTCAGTTGGCTTAAGGGTGTCTCCCAAAGAGAATGAAAATGCTGTGAGTAGAAGAGCTGGACTTCAGATTCCTTCTCTGGCTTGGCACGCAGCTCTTCATCCCTGGCCCTACCTAAAGCAAATACCACACCTAACAGACATCGCCTCACATGGACTCCAAGAAATCAATGTGGTGCAGTCTTGAATTGCACAGCACTGCGTAAAAAGGGCTATTAAGAGGAGGGGATTAAGGCTTGGGAACTTTCCTCTAAAACCATCTCTTTTTGAGCTCATTGCTGACCCTATGGTTTATTTGTCCCTTGATATATTTTTGCCTTGGCTATATTTCATTTTTAATCAGACCATTAGGGTTTAGTTATTCTTTCCAGTAGTAAGTTGAAGAGAGACCATTTTTTAAATTGCCAGTATTCCAGAGAGTCAGGTTTAAGGTCAAAAGTCACTCCTAGATAAGAAAGGTTAAGTGTGGATGTTCACCCAAGAACCAGCAGGGCAAGCCACCTGCCTCCAGCCAGAGACAGCATGGATCACAGAGAAGCCTGCTTGCCATCTGCAGCAGTTATAACATGGCTGTTGTTGGAGGCCAAGTCAATATTTCCCCCATTTCACAATCACCTGATTATATGCTCCCAGGGAGTTCCTGGAAGAAAACAATAGATCAGCAGGAAAGTGAAGAAGATAAATGAACATAGACCATGGAACAAGAGCCAAATCCTATTAAAGGCTCAGCTAACCTCATGTCATAGGGGCAACAGTCTGTATGAGGCAGCTGACTCTGTTCTAAAGCTAGACACACCTGGAAATGATCCTTTTGCAGCTTGCTTGGCCTCTTTCCCATAGCCAGACCTCACTGCCTTGCCTTATACAGTATAGACCACAAATTCATACATGATCTACCTGACCCAGAACCTCCCTGACAATGACTTCACAGTTAGGGACAGGTCACCATGTTTACAAACGGGTCTCAAACACACAGAAGAAGCTAGAGAGGAATGATAGAGGAGGAGCAGGCCCATCACCCAGTCACCATCCTTCAGTGTGCCTTTGGCTGAATTTAGTGCGACAACAGAGACCCTCTCATAACGGACTAGCAGCTCCCCATTGGTCCACATCACAATGGTTAAATAGTGGTCTCTAGAGGAGTAGACCTGAGTTGGCCTCAAAGACCCTAAGTCTAGAGGGGATCTAAATGAGGATGATGGGTAATGCTTCGGCGCTCTCTCTCTCTCTCTCTCTCTCTCTCTCACCATCACATAAAGGAAATTTAGAATATGGATCTAAATGAGGATGATGGGTAATGCTTCGGCGCTCTCTCTCTCTCTCTCTCTCTCTCTCTCTCTCTCTCACCATCACATAAAGGAAATTTAGAATGTAGCTTTCCTCAGACCCACAGGGCTAACCACCATTTATGAAGACTGAGTCTAAGAACTTCTGGCAACATGTAGGCAAACATATTTGTTAAAAGTTGGAGAATACAAATAAGGAAAAGCAATCACTGTCTATGTCCCAAGCTACGTCTGTGATGAAAAGCACCACTTCTCTCTACTCTAAACTACTTTCTTGTAAAAGCAAGAACATTAATAGGCACAATTAGTCTCCATGCCAATTGGTGGGATGACTGAAATACCACTGACTAGGTAAGCCCAAGACAGAGAGAGGTAGCCCTTTCCACAGCCACCTCGGCAACTGGTAAAGAACACTGGTGCGACAGTTTGGAGACATGGACAATGTGAGCTGCACTGGGAGTGGACACAGGTGAAGGCAGTCACATTAAGTTCCATTCCATTTAACAACTAAACCTATAGAAAAAGGAATTAAAGTGTGCTATGTACATGTACCAACTCCACACAAGGAATGTAAGCATGTACTGTGGCCTAGTTATTTTTTTCATTGCTAGGACAAAATACCTGACACCCAGAGTTAAAGGAGGAAGGGTTTATTTACCTCACAGTTTACAGAGGTTTCAGTTCATAATTGGCTGGTTCCAAGGCAGGGTGGTGTGGCAGACAAGCATCAAAAGAGAAACAGCTCATGGTGGGCAGAAGGTAGCAAAGCAATCAGGGATGACCACAGCTCTGTCTCTCCCTTACATCTTATCCAGGCTACTTAGGGGAGGCAGCACTCACACCCTTAATCTTATTGTCCTTGATCCTAGCACTGCACCATGAATCAATTCCAGCATCACACGCTCTGGATCCAGCCACCTCTGAAAAAGGCCCCCACACCTATGACTGCAGGAGACTTTGGGAGGAATCTAGACCCAAGCCTAGCAAGCTAGTAAAGAAAATTATCTTAAAAATGAAATAAACAATAGTAGAATGTTTAAAAATAATTGAGCTTGACCTTCATTCCGGCTCAGGAATGTATTCTAGTACAGGAATTAGCTTCTGACATTTCAGGATTTGGAGGACAGCCATAGTGGGGCAGACATGTGGCTTCTGTTATTTTCCTTTGAGGAGAGAAACAGAGTAAGGGGAGATACCAGAGAGGAATCATTTGATTGCATGAAAGTCACTCATTCAAATTTAAGTACAGGGAAATGTATCCTAAACATCTGATCTATATGAAATATGATCCAAGAAAAAGGAAACCAAACAGACTCCGAAGCCAGGACCAAAGCCTAGACCTCCTCCCTAGTGAGGGTGAGTTCTGACCCTTCACACCTGGCCTTTCAAAAGAGGAAATCTGACTAGCTCCCGAGCGGTCTGGGTTGGGTCCTTCTTGGTTGACTGCAATGACGGTGTGAAGGAGATGGCAACTAGGGTAGAAAGACAACCTGTTGGCTGGTTGGGATAATGTACAAGGGGTGATTGAAAACTAAGGTGCATATTTAATGTTTTTTAAATGTTTTGCAGCATTACGTTTTCATGAATCCCTTTTAAAACACTCCCCTTGCTTGGAGCACAATTATCCCATGGTTCTTGCTATTTTCTCTAGAAGTTCTGGAAATCCACCTTCATGAGTATCTTTATGAGATATGATCAAAAATATGGTGCTGAGTGCTGCTAGGTGCCATCCATTGGAAAGGCAGACCCCTAAAAACATCACTAAGTGTTCCCGTGCACCTTATTCACCAGATCTGGGGTCGACTTCTGGCTCTTCCTCAATGCCAAAATGACCGTAAAAGGTAAAGGTCAGGATATCAAGGCAATCATTACAGTGCAATTAAAGACACTAGGGCACAGTATTTTGAGGGAAACTTTGAGGGGGATTAATGGCATTGAATCTTTTACTGTAATAAAAATTTTTAAATTTAAACTCAAACTAATATTTTTAGTTTCCTGATACAGGGCCTTGCTATTTAGGCTGGCCCTGAACTCATTATATAACCTAGGCTGGCCTTGAATTCATGGTAATCCTCCTGCCTCAGCCTCTGGAGCACTGAGATAATAGGGATGTACCATCATGCCTGGCTCACACTAATTTTTTTTGGCCACATCTCATAATTGCTCCAAGAAGGAAGAATGGGAGCAGGAAAGGTTTGATTGGCAATTCTGCTGCAGAAAGCTTTCTGAACCCTTTAGCAATGAGACATGATTCTTATTTGTATCACAGCAATATGAACAAAAGGGTAGAGCTGGAGCCAGGAAACCTTCCCAAGCTGGGCACTGAGGCAGTCTGAGAGAGACCAGGTGCCTTGGGTCAGTGCACAGCTATTTGGGAAACCCAGATGGGCATTAGAGGAAAGGCCAAGAAGAGCTGCACGCTGCAGATTAATTACAGTCTTGAAAGAGCAGACTCTCTGCCCTCTCTCAGACCCTGCCTCAACTGTGTTCTTGCTGGGGGAATGGTAGTGGGTTGGAGGTCAGTGCCTTTACCAGGACTTGTCCCAGTGTGTCATAAAGTCTCGAGGGCAAGGCAGGAGAGGCAGGTTGACATGCTGTTCTACAATCATCTGGAAATCTAATTTGTGGAACCCGTAGCCATCTGTTCCGTGGATAATGTGCCAAGGTACCTGCCAACAACAGTACAAGTTTTCTGCTGTTGGGTAACTAATTGCATCTATGGGACCAACACAGCGTGAGCCTCAACTGGTAGAACGTGACCTTCCACTACATTACTACTTCAGATGCATGTTCTCTGACATTCAGTAGGTATAGGACAGCAGGATAGAGAGTCTCTAACAGCAGGATAGAGAGGCTGGAGCAGCCCCGTGACCTCCAAAATGTGACATGATAGCAGGTGTCAGGGCAAGCATTTTCCTGGAGCTGGGCAGGAGATCATGGTTCAGTTCTACCTCATTTTTCCTTCCTGAGAATCTGGGAAAGGATGTCAGAGTCTAGAAGAGCTTTGACAATGATACCAGTGGCTCCTTTATACCTTCTGATATTTTTTTTCCTTTTAAAATCACCTTGTTTAGAGACTAACAGGAGTGGAATGGGTTAGGGTAAACTGAGGCATGACTGGGACCACTGAATCAGGCAAAGTTAAAGCAACAAATGGAGTTTATTTCAGCCTAGGTGTAGGTGGGCCAAGGGCGAAGAGACCATCAGTGCCAAGAGCGGGGTGATTTGGGTAAGGGAGGACAGGTGCTCGGGGGAGAGCAGAAATTTTTGAGGCTTGAGGAAAGGAGGTTGAGACTTGGGGAGGGAGAAGTCTGTAAGGGCACAGGATGTTTCTTGTGGTTGCTGGGCACCCAGGCCTGCAGGCATTGATGGATGCAGTGGGCACATGTTCCTCTCAAACCTGTGTCCTGGCTCTGTTGTTATACACTTCTTGTAGGTACGAGGAGCTCGGTGCAGGGCAGCGTGGTGCACAGTGCTGTGAGATGTCTTTCCTGTTCTGCCTGGGAGAGGGTATACAGGACCTATGAAGTAGGTGTCCCTCTCTCTGGAGATGACGTGGTAGTCAGAGTTTTCTAGTTTAAAGCTTTGATTGTAAATTTCTCTACAGTAATGAACTCCTCGCAGGAAAAGACCTCTTATCTTTTGCCATCACCCACAATATAAGCACCCTGAAGGGAGACAGGCAGTGGCAGTGGCACTGGCTTCTTACCACACTCTGCAGCCTCCCCCAGAGCCTATTCACCCACAGGCAAGGTGGTCGGAAGATGCTGAGTAGACCGATCTTAGCTATTCTGTGATGTTTATCATGGAACAGGTGGATGAATGGATATCTATGTTACCTAAAGGGACTTAAATGCAAGTGACATTACATTTTGCATCGTTAGCTTTGGGGTTTGTATTTAAAGAATATATCAGCATCAACAATGTATCCAAACCATGAAGCATGGTACAAGCCTTAGTATCAGCTGCTCTGGTTTTCCAATGGACCCGGGACAGATCTATCATACCTGTTTCCTGGGCTCTTTCCGCCTTCTCATTAAATCCATATCGTGCTGGACTGGCTCTGAGTGTTTTCCAGACAGAACAGGGCCTAGCACACTGCCCTTGTGTGCAAAACACTTAGCGTTTGTCTCAGTGCAACCAACGGAAAAAACCAAGGGATTAACCAGCAGGGGGGATATGCTTACCACTGCAGAAGCTAAGCCGATAACAAGCAGCATGGGCGAAATGCACTTCTGACTCTCAGGACCTCCGGGGGTCAGCGCCGAGTGCTGCATGGAAGCTGGGGCCAAAGGAGCTCCGCAACCATTAGGCTGGAACCACCGTGAAAGAGAAATCCGGGACGACTCAGGAGGACTGGATTGACCTTCAGAGATGTCTCCTTTATCCATGGAAACAGAGGTTTCTAGTCATTTCAACAATCCCACAAGACAAAAATAACATACCTAACAGTCAGTTATGGAATGGATTCTATGCAGGAGTTTTGGTGCTTTTGCTTGTAATTTAAGAAGTGACTATAGTGGGCCTTCTGGCTGTGTCTTGCTTAGACCTGGGTGTGTATAAGCTGAGTAGCAAATGGCAGTGACAGGAATGTTGACCAAGGATTTACAATTCACTTCTGCTGTCAGTCAGAGGTGACATCTGCCCCAGGATTGTGCTGGTAAATGTCTAACAACTGGCTGTCCAATAAAACTCTGACATGTAGTGTTTGCCTCTTTTAATAGTGTAAATACTCCCAGCATGGCCGATTGCAAGATTCTAGCATGATACCACTGAATACAGCGCTGAGAAGACATGCAGATAGACAGACACAATGGGCACTAAAAAACTCAAATGCGTAGGTGATTATAAAATGCAATCAAGTAGCAAGTAATACGTTTTGAGTATTTATTACATTTGTTTGAAACATACTTTACTTAGGGCCGGGGATTTAGCTCAGTGGTTCAGTGGCCTGCCTTGCAAGTGCAAGTACCCGAGTTCAATCCCCGGTACCAAAAAAAAAAAAAACATACTTTACTTAGGGCCGGGGATTTAGCTCAGTGGTTCAGTGGCCTGCCTTGCAAGTGCAAGTACCCGAGTTCAATCCCCGGTACCAAAAAAAAAAAAACATACTTTACTTAAATGTGACTTTTCACTATTTAATTTTGAAACATGACTCTCACAACTGGTCCCAAAATTTCTGAAAATTTAGCATGACTACTGTTCTGTATGACTCATCCCCAAAATACCACCGCATTCACCATCACAGCAGCTGAATGCAGATGACAGAAAGCAAAACCCACCAGCTTTGGTGGGGCTGCAAATCTTTATTTTTCTATAACTATAATTACATCCAAAGAAATCAATTACTTTTAACAAAAATTGCTATATAAAAATAATAACAAGGAACAACTAAAGAGTTCTTGTATAGCTTAGTGCCCTATTAGAAACAAAATATTGGTCAATAAAATTCTCACATTGACACAACATTGCTATCTAAAGGCTTTCAATGTCATCTGATATGGAATAGAAATTGCAGGGCTGGAAAATTGCACTAAAGCAAGGTAGCATTAGCAGAACTCTAATCTTAACTTAAAACCCTAAAAGATTTCAAAAGTACTAAGAATTTTCAGAGTCTCTTAATTTCTATTTTATTCTGTTGACTATCTTATATTCTTTGACTAAAGTCTAAAAATATGCCTTTTCTCACTGATGTCTCGGAGAGTATCTGAGAATGCTTTTTTAATATATCTACAAACAAAAAGAGGTAAAGAGTCATTTTCCTCTCCTGGGGAGGCCAGAAACAGATATAACTAAACTGCAAGAAAGAATTACCCCTTTCTTTATAGTCTCTCCAAGTCTCTTCCAGCTCCAGAGCTCTGTGAGTCTACATTTGCCAAGAAATATCTTCTTGCCATCAAGCGGCTGAAGGAGTTTGCTTGGAAACTTTCCTGCAGTCAGGACTGCTGCCCGTGGCAAGGGATTCAAGGACTTGGCTGCAGGTGTGTGCTCAGCTTCTCCCACGTAAACAAGACCCTGTGGTCCTTCTTCCTGGGACTAGCACAAGGTTTTCCCTTTTTCAACCAGACTGTCACCATCAGAGGTGGTAAGAAGTAGAGAGATAATGAGAAGCCAACGGTCACACTCATGCCGATTTTTGTCTGTGTCTGGAGGTATGATGCTTTGGAATTTCTTGGGACACAGCAGAAGCCAGTGATTAAGTGCAAATCTCCAAGGGCGATGCCCCAACGCCTAATTTCCCACCTGTCAGCTGTAAGAACTCTAAAGCTTTCTGGGACAGGTGTGGCTAAGGAAATTACTTGATTCCCTTTTCCCAGAATGGACTTCCCGGGCTCCTCCTCTGGTTCCTTGAGACTGTCTTGTGCCTCTTTACTCCTCAGTGTCCAAACCCAGGTCCCAGGGAAAATTAAGATCCAAGCCCCTAAGACTGCTGCCACTTTTATTTCCATATATCACCTTTGTTAAGTTCTGGTGAAGGCAACTACTTTAGACTTTTGTTCAAAAGTTATCAATTTCAAATGCAGTTTTATGTGGTGAAATGCTACCTTAAGTAGGCATTTACTTGACTCATTTTTCTAACGGAGTAAGGTCTGGTTCAAAACAGCGGAGTTAGCTGATTGTCATCTAATGATGGTTGCTAGGAAACCATTCTGCAGCAAATTAGAATCCCATAAGCTCTTCCCCTTCTTCTGAAGTCCTGTAGAATTAATGTGTGCACGATTCATTCATTGGTGAATCAGTACTACCTGGGGATGTCTTTCCCCTCTTATTGTTAAATTGTTACTTAAATAATTAACTTTTTTATAATTTATATCTTAGCTGTGCAATTAGTCTTTAAACTCTCAGCAGATGTCTCTTTGTGTTTATACCTTTGAATCTCTACTCCCAAATGCCTAGCCACCAAGGCCTGCCCAGTATGTGCTGATTGTGTTTGAAAGGAGGTGGTCCCATGGAAGAAATGGCTCCAGATAAGAAAAAGAACACTCAGAGTATGTTCCACTGGTGATTAATGAGTTTGCAAAGCTGTTTTGTTATCCTTTTGCTTTTATTTCTGTGTTAGCCTTTAATTTGGAGCCCACAGAAGAGAAAACTTGCTAGAATATGCAAGAAGTAGTTCTAGGAATCGGTGCAATTTCCCTGGAAAACAGTTTGATAATATTTGATAATTTCATACACTATGACACACAGTATCCATTCTGAGACACAGAAAATCCTCACACATCTGGAGAAATTTGCCAAGAGTTTATCCCAGCTTTGTTCATAACAGTTAACAAAATGGAAACAACTTAAATTTCGATTAAAAAATAAATTAAAAACAGTGTCACTTTGGGAATACAGCATGCTGCACTATCATTCCACCCAAGACTAGGTCATTCTGTGCCACGTTATACATACTTCAAATAAGCTGGAGCTGCATACGTCTACCTGGTAAATCACGGAGCAAAATAAACCAATTTGCAGAGAAATGCATACCATATTGTACCATTACTATTAAGCTTTAAAACACGTCAAGCCAAACTGTATATGAATGTACCATACAATCAAAATTTACAAATATGGATGGAAGTCACATCAGTGAATTCAGCACAGTGATTCCCTTTGGGGAAAAAAAAGAAGAATGGGCAAAGGTAAGCCACATAAAATTTCCTGGAGTGTTTTATTTATGAAAAAACTATATTCAAAGAATGCATAGTGGAATGTTCAGCTGGACAAAGCCGGCGGTAAGAACATGGATGTCTGCTGTACTGTTCTCCGTGCTTGTTCACTTTTGATGCATTTATTCACTTTGTTTTCAGAAATCTGCTTTAGGAACAAAAGACCCAAGACTCTTTTGCAGGAATGGGACAACGTTGCACCAAGCTGATGGGGGAGAGATACAGGGTCATTTTCAGTTCAGGGACTTGGTTCCTGCTGAGTTAGATGAATTCATTAGAAGTTTTATCTACGTACTAGAAAGTTTACATGAATTGAATCTTTTAAATACTGGCAGTAAAACAAAGGAAGGCCAGGCAATAAGGCTTGTTTTTTTTTTCCTTTAATATAGTAAATAATAAATCTTCCTTTATTTTGCTTTGTTTGAATAAAGTTAATTATAAAAGCAGTACATCATTTTGGCAGCTAACAATGCCTTAGAGCAATGGATCTGAAGCTTTAATGAGCATAAAAATCACCTGGGATGCTTGTTAAAATGAAGATTTCTGAGCCCTAGCCCCTCCCCATCCAGTGCGAATCCAGTACACCAGGGTGGGCCCTGTCATTTCTGTCTTTAGTGATCACCCCAGCTAGTTCAGTCCTTTAACAGAGTAACCAGAGTAAACTGGGTCTCACAGGCAGATTGTCCTACCCACGAACCAAAGATCACTGGTGCCTCCAACTATGAAAATATACTGCAAGCACTGCATTACATTAGCAAATAAATGGATCCTTGAAAATTCAAATCTACAAAACTATCATACACAGCACACTGTTCAGCATACATCTACTCATTTGCCAGATATTTACTGGCCATCTATTTTGTGCACGGTACTCCTTTGCTCATTTTTATTTGTGCTCTATGTGAATTTCTTTACACATGCACATATGCAGAATTTTATATAAGTGCATAAATATGCCTGGCTGATTCACCATCTTTCCCAACAGACACACACACACACACACACACACACTCCAAAGTGACACTGATATGCTAGGAATACTTTCTTGGGGTAGGAGGGCTTTCGAGAAGGGAGAAAACTTTTTACATGTAGTACTTTTGTTTCTCTTCTTTGTTTAACCACCCCTCCCACTCTCCTTGCCTTCCATCCATATGAGCCCCTGCCCGATAATCCATGTCAGGGACCTAGTATGTACCCATCAATATGTTTTCTGATGCCCACTGATCATACACACATTTGTACACACCCGAACACAGCAGACCTGTGCAGACAGATGACTCAGTGTAGTGAAATGAACTGTCCTCTGCCAGGAGCTCATCTTTTGGGGAGACAATGTACATCTGCAAAACTATCAAGACGAAGGGCATTGTACCCAAATGGCACATGATATAATAAAAGATACATAGGAAAAATCTCAACACTTCATGTGCTGTAGGCTTAGGAAAAGCAGAAAATAGAAAGTATAAGGAGACATCAAGAACATTCTCTCATTGCATGACCTTCACAGACCACCAGGTCAGAATCAGCTTAAAACCTGGGTCCCACTGCACGTGAAGGAAGCCTCTTGCCTTTGGAAGACAGAGCAGATGGAGGGTCCTTCCCTGAGGCAGAGCTCCCAGACCCCAAGAGACCTGTGGGGCTGGAGCAAGGGGAAGTCCAGGCAAACAAAGGCACAGTGTTTATCAGAGCAAATGCCATGGTGATGTTTTCAGGCACAATCACGTCA